ACGTGGTAGTAACTGAACGGCGGACATTTGCCTTAAATTAAATGGTAATGAACTAATGTAGTTAAATCTTCGCCGGTACTACTAGGATGATAATAGCAGTATCATAGTATTACGTGTAGTGGTCGGTTACGTCATCGATTCTCTAAAAGAGTAAATTTAGTGGAATATGTTAGTAACAACGTATACATACTTACATATATACATATACATAAACACTCACGGCCTATCACCCAGAGCGGTAGACGGGGACTACAGAATTCCATTTGGCACGATCCTGACACACCTCTCTCGCCTCCTTCACATCCATATATACCTACGCATACATGCTCGTCGGTTAAGGGTACTCCTAATTTGGCCCGTTTTCAATAAATCGCCAATTTGATCGATAAATTTTCGCCTAGGACGTCCCTTTCCGGCTCTGCCATTCACTTCTCCAACATAAATTTTCTTTGTCACTCTTTCCTCATTCATTCATTCCACATGACTAAACCACCGAAGCATTCCTTTCTTAATCCTGGTCACAACAACATCTTGCAAACCACACTCTTCTCTTATCACACAACTCTTCTCTTATAACAACGTATAAATTGGTTTTATTGATATATTGGATGACCTTTTATACCGTCTGAAAAAAAATAGGGTGTGACAGGTGAATGGAGTAGAAAGCCTATGGTACTGATATTTTACAAAAAATAAAAACAATAATTTTGAAGAATGTTTTTGAAGCATTTATTTAGAAGAATTTTGAGACTTTACCCTTGAGCCTGTGACACTGCGAAGAACGTAGACAACGAATTTATTATTTTATTGCCGCTCGTAACACTTGGGTGTGTGTGATTTCATTTAGTTTCGTTAGATTTTAATTGATTTATTTATTTAATTCAAACTTTTTGTTTTTATTTTTTTGTAAAACATCAGTGCCACAGGCTTCATCCAGTATAGGTAGCTTTAGTAAGTAATAATTAATTAATAATGCATACAGAAAATTGACTTTTTTCGAACTGCACATATTGTGTTTTAGTTTTAAGGGTAGAGACCCAGCATAGTTAAACATTGTGCAGCGCATTATCTTAATCCTCTTTTTTCGTCACTTTCTTTTGAAGCCAGCGAATGGTCTGCTCTATTGACGCAACTAGCGCCCCATTCCGTCCCCTGGGTTTTATAATAGGCGACTACAGGATATGCTAGAAACATCCTATGTTTCCCGATAAATGGTAGTATAACTATCTCGTTTATCTCAAATTTAAAATATACATACCGGCGAAAAGAAGCAGTATGAAAGGTGCGAGAAGTTTCGTACAACGATCCTCAATCTGACAATCAAGCCTGATGGCTCCGGCAAATCCTCGCTACAAAGGGTGAAGCACATGTCCAGCGTTAGACTTGTATGGACTGATGAAGAATATGACTGATAAAGGACGGACGAGCTTTGCTTACTCCTTTTTAACGTTAATATTATATCGGAAAAGATTATTCATGTTAGAGATCTAACTTTTCGAAACGGAAGGAGTATTAAGTGAAGGAGTAAAAAATAATGAAAAACCCCAGAACACATTGTAAAATATTTAATAAAGATAATTCTAAATCAAACTAGTAAACAATAGAAAAACATAAAACAATACTAAAACAAACGAAGGATTGAACGAACTAGCTGCCCCGTAATTCGGCCCCGACACAATTCCAAAAGTCCTTATATTTGGTAGATATTTCAGCATTTTCTGTATAACCGATTCCTTATCCTCGCCGGTCATGACTTGATTTTTAAAGGAATCGAACTGAGCCTCATCGTCATCATTAAAGACCCTTTTACGTGTGACTGAAGCCGAATCCGTGTTAAATACTTTAAATTTTTCTCTGTCCGTTGAACGTAACTCTCGACGAACCTGATACAGTCAAATTTCATCATGTTAATATATTTTCTATCACCGTTGTGTGTATGTAATTACTATTTTAAACAACATAACCAAAATGTGCCCCAAGCTGTACAAAAATAACACTATTGGTATTAATTTAAATAAAACAAACAAAGAATTTTGAATAACTATTAACATTTCATAGTACTTGTTGAAAAATAATCAAGTTTAAAACTATTTAAAGTCATTAATCAGTCATAAGTCATCAAAAGTTTTGTAAGTGCCTTTAATATACACAGTAATCTATAGCCTTTAATGTAATATCATATTAAAAAGATCATATTAAGAAAGCGAAAAAACGATAACTAAAGTCATAAAAATACTTTTTTATAATATGTTATCTATAAAAACAAACCTATTAATGAATTAATATATCAAAATAATCAAAATACACTGACGGATGGGATTTTATTTATTTATTTAATACAGCAACAGTTTAAACATACAGCATTACATAGTAGGATAGAATTATTTTACTTTAGTAAAATAATTCTAAAGCAGTCAGTGTCAAACTTGATTGTATAGTTATAAACAATATAAATATTTTCAAAGACTGAAAAAACTGTTGTCCCCGTTTTTTTTCCAGCTAAGCTACTATGTATCCTAAACATCTGGGGCAAATGCATGTACACATTAACCTATATAATACACAAATTAAATTATAACTTTATTAATGTCTACATTGTGTAATTATGATAAAAACCGAGTGACAAAATCAACTTTTTTAAACCTTCATAACTTTTGTGCACTATTGCGTAGCTATATGCACTTTTCTAATTCATAACAAAGAAGATCTGTACTTTCAAATGACATAGACTTCATCTCTGTACTGTCTGGGGCACAGGCTCATACAAGTTTTGACCATCTCCTAAATTGTTATTTCTCTTCAAGAGAATTCCATTGCAATTCTTTTGAGAAATAAACTCTTAAATCACAAATGTTTCTGTTGCACCATTATTTCATGCTAAATATTAATAGACTAAGTGGTAGAGCCACGCTAATAAGTCAATACGAAAGGGGACTGATGCTCCAATAATGTAAAAATAATAGCATAATGCTTCACTAAAACGTCCAGCCTTGTTAAAAAATTTATAATTGAATCTTCTCTTAAGGAGCATCATTACACAAAAAATCGAAATTTTAAATAAACCACAACTTCAGCGCCGTGTGGTAGCGGCGTGAGGGAATTCATTGCCGCATATCATCTCGCGGACGTCGTAAGAGGGACAGAGATAAACTGAAGTCGGAGACAGCTCACTATGATAAAAAATGTGGTTGCCAACGGTGATGGCAAATATTAATAATATCCTCAAAACCAAATTTCGGTCACGGCGGCCAGTCTCAGCGAAGGCTAGCCATCAACGCAGGACAGGATTATAGTGCTTAAGTGTACGCGCAATCACAGGTGCACTCTCTATTCTCTTACTCTCATGGTCCGATGGAACTATTTATACGGAACTGTGGATAGAGCTTTTTAAAAAAAATTATTTATTACACAATAAAGAATTAGTAAACTTATGATAATATAGTAATAACTGGGGCTTATAAAGATTTTGTGAAGATATAGTAACGATTTAATAACGACGACTGAGACTGGAATGAGACTTGTAGATTAATTGTAGACTGACCGTAGACCGCCCGGCGTTCGTCGGGAGATCGGTTATATGGGGCTTATGTCGCTGACGCAGCAGTGTGAAAGAGATGCGTTAACCGATCTCCTAATATTGATGGGGTACAACAGAACGGTAATCCGACACAACCGAATAGAGATTATGCGCAGTACCAACGGTTTTGCGTGCTTTCTGAGGCACGGGGGTGAGACACCGCCAACTGCAACTCCGGGCAGATAGGAGGCTATGGAGGTGTATCCAATACCTACAGTACCATCCCGAATCCCGGTTCGGTTCAAAAACAGCTATGGGGTTTTTCTATCAAGAAATAGCAGTGCGGAGACAGGAAGTAGGAGGTGTTTCAACGCCGTGTCTCGGAAAGCATGTAAAGCCGTTGGTCCTGCGCCTGATCTGATCCTGATACGGTCGTGTCGGCTTACCATCCCATCGGACTATGAGAGTGAAGGAATAGAGAGTGCACTTGTACTTGCGCATATTATCGGATCATAGTTATAGTCATAGTCATTTATATCATAGAACAATATTACATTGTATTGGAAAATTCATTACACAAAATGAAAAATTACGTTTACATGCAATTGACTTAAATAAAATTAAAATCGAATAAAATTTAAATATCATTCACACTACAATCCCGTGCTGCGCTGATGACTAATCTATGTTGAAATGGAGCGCCGTGGCTGAAATCGGTCTGGAGGACATTTTTATAATATAAATATACTCTCACTTGAGTGTAAGGATCACCTCTATTCCCCAAATGCCAACCGCACCTGAGCGGTACAACCGGCTAATTGCAGGACGTTGCTCTGGTGACTGACTGACGTCTTGAAATCCATTCAAAAACAATGACCCAAGTTTCACAGACCGATGATAGAGATAGCATCATCAGGACGCTGGTGTCAGGTATCAGCGCTCAACAATCAACAATCACTCGGCAGGGGAGGGATAAAGCTTTTAAGAAATGCACAGACTATCTGGATCTAAAGAATAAATCTTCGCCAATTAAAAACCGATTTCTATGATTATTTTTTATTAAATAGGCTATACCTCAAATGGTTCGTGATAAATATTTTACACCCAATAGTTAGAATATTTCAATTTAAATATTAAGACAACATTCTAGTTGTTAACACGAGCTATGAGCTTGTGATATTATAGATTACCACTGAAAGGGGTCACATAATTATACTTTTAAAAAAGAGAAACCCGACATGAAAAAACCTAAGAGAAAAATATTAACACATCATAATTTCATAGCTTCGGAAATCGGTGCTAAGACATTATGTAGTCATTGAAGAAGAATTAAAGCCCTCGACAATGCCCGTGCAATTAAATTATGAGTATTTTTTTTTTGTTGAAATCGGTTTTATTTTTTTAAAGGTGAATTTTTAATACGATATCTAGGGAGGTACAAATAGAGCCTTATTATGCCAACGAAACGAGTAGTAGAGTAAAGTTAATTCATTACCTTTACAGGAGTTATTGGATTTACAGTAGTACTAAATGATTTCGAAAAAGGTTCCCCCATTGTTTTCTCCATTCGCAATAAAGATTCTTGTAACTCACGGGCCGTTTCAGCTGCAAGTAAACGTGTACTGGTTAGGTATTCACGGATGCATTATGAACATGTCATGTGAAATCAGGGTGATAATCCACCTAGTACACCTGACGATAAGTAGATGCTGTGGCCCACAGACATCATCATAGAGATTACATTTATCTTCGATTAAGAATCGATATGCAGATGCGTTATCACATCTGATGACTAAGAGGGAATGCCTCGTTGCTAGCAGAAAGGTTCTCTACACTCACCGTACGAAACAAAGCAGCATTAAGTTGCTATTTTACGCTGGTACGCTGTGAGAGCGTAGTCTTACTCCGGTCAAGCTGACCCATTCGTGCGACAACTACAATATAGCTGCAGCGTGGCTCTACGCAAGGAAAATAAGTTTAGTTACGGACTCGTCCCTCCTCCTACATTCTATCAGAAATGAGATGAGGCTAAATCCACATTCATTTCGATATTATAGACAGACAGTTCAATTTTATATATACTGGATGACCTTTTTTACCGTATATAAATGAGTTAATTAAAATCTATCGAAATTCCAATCATATCCATCCTACTTTACCGACGGCAATAGAACAATAAATTTGGTAGGCATCTTTGACCTTGTCCCTTGGCAGGGTCACAGGCTAGAGTGAACAAAGGGCAAAGTAATTGTTCAAAAAGAAATTTTCAAACGTTCATTCAAAATCTTTGTTTTTATTTTTTGTAAAATATCAGTGACATAGGCTTCTGACCCGCTCACATGTTACACCTTATTTTTATCCAAACGATAAAAAAGGTCATTCAGTATATTATTTATTTATTTTTTATCTTTTATTGTAAATACGTCAGACTAAATGTCTTCTTGCACTGTTCACCAGTCAATCCTTATTATGATGGGGGATGGATTTTGCCCGCGTTCTTTAGCTCTCACCACACGACTTATACGCACTCGTATATATTTTTTGTGGAAGAGAGGGCACACGAGCATGCGGCTCACCTGATGGTAAGTTACTACCGCCGCCCATGATCAACTGCAACACCAAGGGAATTGCATATGGGTTGCCGACCTTTTAGAAAGGAGTAAGCTCTTTTTTTGAACGCACCTAAGCCGTATCGGTCCGGAAAAATAAATAAATAAGTAAACAGTTCCACAGAGAGGTTGTACGAGGAAGAAAACTCTTAGTAAAACGCACGTTGGTGGACAGCCAAGCATCCAAATGGTGGGGATGGTATCATGAGTTTTGAGTTCTGTTTGTCACACTTTATAAAGAAATTATGAATTAAATTGCTACTAATGTTGTCTACAACGTTCGAATGTTAATAAAATTAATTATGAGTACAGATTGCCTTTAAGGAATATTATAAATTATATTATTATATTACAAATATTTATTATTTAAGCTACAAAACTTACCATCAAAAAGCGACAGTGACGAAAGGAAACAAAATTTCTTAAAAGTAGCTAATCTAATAACTGTATAATATTTTATATAAACGCAAAGGTGATAAACATATTATCTACCCTCGGTTAAAAATGTGTTGTCACTCCTGAGAACTAAGATGCGAAGCTTCATCACCAGTAAAAAGTAAGTAAAATTAAATCACAAAAAAATGGATGTCTTCATGACTTTCTTACGGGACCACAATTAATAAGCCAAAAATTCTGTGCATAAATTTTACCACAGATAAGCTAGTATAATCGGGAGCATCATACTGAAAACGATATGTATTTAATAATTGAATAAAGTAGTGAAATAAACGCGATAAAATCCGTAAATTTAGTTTTATTCAATGTGTAGTGTTCGCGTAAATTTAAGAAATCATTATCGATGTGTATACAAGTAATTGTCCGCGAAGTTAAGAACCCGCAATGATGTCAGGTATTTTTATACAACTGGTTAGTTTTATTTAAAGAATAAAATAAAATGTCATTAAGGCATTACAAATATATCAAGACTGACAAAATGTACATTTATGATTAATTTTTAAATTTGAAAAAAAAAAGCGTGATAAATTAAAATGCTTTTAACTTTTGGCGATTGACGATAGGTTATCATTTTTAAACATCCATCTAAAACATCACAGATTGTTTGCTTCTTTATTAAAATAATGTTATCCTATCAACCCGACCTCTCTTTTGCACTCCAAGGCCTTTTGCTATTGAATGTTTTAACTATATAGTAAGTATAGCGTTGTATACAGATATAAAACGTTCGTCAATCTAAATATCAACACTAATTATTTCTACTATCTTCATAATGTAATTTTTATAAGTGTACGTACTCAGTTTCTTCATAAAAGCTCTTCATGGAACACATATCTACATAGATAGAACATATATTAACCTTTGGTGGTTATTTTGCAATAACCTGCCAAAGTTACAGAGAAGGTTTAGAATAAGTAATGTAAGCAAATGGTGAAGAAAAATCTCAAACATTCTGTCCTTATTATCTTTTAAATACAAAAGGCGTAGTAATGCATTATTTTAACTGATTTTGCTGCGCACGCACACATTCGTAAGGGTTGATCGTTAGACAAAAACGTTGTTGCCCATAAATCGAATTCAATTTGGGATAATTACAAATAAAAGTATAAGCCTTATTAACTCGTATTTTCAAAAAACTGCACTAACGGTATATCATTATTTGTATATTTGACTGTAAGTTTAAAATGTTTAATTTATAATCAATACGTACCGAGAGCCCATATTGGTACTTCTACTTATATATCCAAAAACTAAAAGCCACACTTAAAGTACTGAGCTTTTAGGTTTGACTTATTTGACTTAAAACTAAACTTGTACTGAGCGTTTAACACACAATGTACTGTACATTTAAGTTATAATGCCGTTTTAGCTATATTCACTTACGATTCGAAAAATAATCTTCAATAACCTTATCACTGATTTCTGAATTTTCTTCGTCATCTATGCTTTGCTTTGTTGATTTTACATTTTCTTCCTCAAACATTTCTGAACTATTTTGCATCAAACATGACGTTTCTGAAATATTATTTCATGTTATATAGTTTCTTTTGTTGGTTTATTTACATACGGTTGTTACAGACCTTGTGTACTGTTTTCAAATTCACCTACGTCTGTAGATGCATCTATAGTTTTCTTTTGATCGTTTGTCACTTTAAAATCTTCCTCACTAACTTTGTCAAAGTGCGAACTTATATCGACAGTATCTGTAACAGACGTAACGATATAATGGAACTCATTTTCCGATTGAAAGTATTTAATTCTTGAAAACTTACATTCCATTCTTTTATGATCCACTTCCTTGTTCAATTCATATAAATAATAAGGTTTTGGTCTTCCAACTGTTCTTAACTTCCTTCTCATTTTGCCTCTGTATGTCATGTATTTTCTTAGTTTTCTTCTTTCAATTTCAATTCTTGTAAGTACAGTATTTAAATCCTCTAACTTGATTCCTAACCTTTTGACTATTGCCTTAATCTGTTCAGAACGACTTCTAAATTGCAATTCCGTTGACTTTTCTAACATTATTGCAGCTAATTTAGCTAAGTAGATTTCATCCAAACTTCCAACGTTGTCAAATGAAAGATTTCTTCTTAAGTCTAACACTGTACTTAAGACAACAGTGTCTTCTAAACTCATTTTACTATGCTTACTATCAAATTTTTGTACGTCATCTGTAATCGACGCTAAGGTTATTTGAATCAAAAAGAGGGTTATAAACAAAAACAGGTTTACGATCGCTGTTTGATAAGCATATACTGTCAAAATGATCCGCTACTTTGTGCATTAGAACTCAATTTGTGTAGTTTAGAACAATTTTAGTAGTAGCATGTAACTTAAAAGCGGTTAATTTTAAAATTTCTAATTGGTGCCTAGTGATTTTAACACCTGCAGGTTTAATCATATTTACATAATTACGTAATCTGCAATATTTTATAGAGATGAATGAGCCAGTATTCAAAATTGTGACGACGCTTCCTTGTAAAAATTATAATCATTACTAAAACGCTAAATATGATACTTCTACGACGGTGAGCATATAAGAATATGTCGCCGATCTACTAATTTATTTGTAACGTTAGATTTCACTACTTAGTATCCGAAAATATTCGCATGCTTTCACCGATCGGCTTGGTCGAAATCGGCAAGAAGATTTAATTTAATGAGATGAGCACATCAGACTCATCAGACGAATTTTTACTTACCCAATGTACACAAACCGGCGTGTTGTGTAGATGGACGTGCATGAGGTGGACACATACTAGCGGGTTGTGCTGGCGTCCATAAATGATGCCCAGTCCGTGGACCCCGAGGAGCGAAATTACATACAAGCCGTTCCACAGTGCGAGGACGATCCCGCGATATGGTCTGAAAAAAGCACACTCCAAAAATCACATGTATCAGAAACACAAGGGCAATCACAACACGTTTTTGTAAAAAATATTGCTCCGGCTGGGTTTCGAGTTAGATTTACCAGGTCACGTGTGTTTACTGTAACAGTGTGAACAGTTAACGATTTAAGTAATCTTTATTCATTGTATTTGTATTATGTGTTATATATTGTGTATTTGTATTTGTTTTAGTAACGAAGATACGTAATGTTGTTCTTAAAATTTTTACAATTGTAATTTATCTAGCCTCTCAAAGGCAAATTAAAAAGGTTTTCTATTTTGGTGAAACAATTAGGCAGTCTGCAACTGAGTAAAACTTGAAGATTACTTAGAGTACAAAATAAAAAGTCAATTAATTTATCAGCAATATCCTATATATTGCTGACAGGTTAACTCGAGGCTCCATTTACTGTAATTTCTTTAATTTTCAAGGTATTCTGTAAACTAGAATCCTTATTGTACTTACTAAGATCTGTAGGAAATGCATCTGAAAATTTCGTACCTTGTATTTGATTTGACAATTTTAATAGTCAGACATAAAGATTTTACTGATTTTCTAGTCAAATTTATACAATCCACCTTCTGAAGAATACAATGAAATTTATAACATTTTACTAACAAACCTTGTTTCTCTGGCTACTTTAATTAAAAACTTATGCTGTCAATACAAAGCGAAAACACACATTTCCTTTTGTACTTAGTTAAATGTATGGGATTATTACGAGTACAATACGTTTCCGTAGTTAAATTCCGTAATATAAATCCTAATTAAGAACCAAATGCTGTCATCAGTTACGCATATCATCATCATTATCATTACAAGTCCACTGCCAAATATAGGTCTCCTCAAGTAATGTGACAAAGCACTTTCTGATTCACCTACATCCTACATCTCTTACCAGGTCGTCACTCCATTCAGTAGGGGCCGCCCTATATTTCGTTTACCGGTACAAGGCTGCCATTCGAGAATTTTTCTAACACATCAGTTGTCGGTTATGCAAACTATATAGCTGGTCCATATTTGATTGCGGATATATTATAGTTTTTTTACTGTATGTATCACCACATATACATTTTAACAATTAAAAGCAATATTTAAAAAGTTTAAGTGGTTCATATTTTGACAATAACAAAAAGAGTCGTTTCAAGTTGCGTTTTTCACGATAATTGATTTAATATTTACTTACGATTACTGACAAATCAGTAGAGGTGTACATGCTCCCCCTGAACGGCATAATATGGTGTAGTCAAAAATTTCGAATACTATAATAAAACCGACGGTTGCACTCCAGGAGTGCCAGCGGAAGTGAAAAAAAAATATTAACGTTGTGCATTTTTGATATTTTGGAATGATTAGGGAATAATTTTGCACGAATTGCTTTAATTATCACACACGAACATTCGCGCAAGCGCCCTGCGCCGCCTAAACGAAACAGCAGGCGCAGGCATACATTTTCGCCGCGCCGTAGAAAGAGAGGGGGATACTTCCTCTCTTGAGCCGCGCCGGCTGTCTCTCTCTCTCCCATCCGTCTTACGAATTTTCGATCAGGGTCACGTGTCCTGACGCGAGTTTAACATTTTTTACCCATTACAAAAAAGTGTACAACGCCGCTAAAGAAGTTTTTACTTCAATAAGCATAATAATTTTAGATACAGAATAAAAATTCGTACCATGAACCTGCTGCGACCACATCCAACCATAAACGTGCGTGCCCACAACATTTGTGCGAAGTCTCCGTAGTAGCTGCTGTTATATGGTGGACTAAAAAAACAATAAAAACAGTTTATTAAACGTCTTTCTAATAGTCTCTCTCTTTTTTTGAAGGATAAATTTAAAATAATTACTTATTTTTACATTAAATTGAATTTGCCAATAATTTCTTATATTTACGCGAACACTACACATTGAAATAATACTAGTTTTTACGGATTTTATCGCGTATATTTAACTATAAATTCCCGACGTTTCGAGCGCTTTACAACACCCATGGTCACGGGGGAGGGGGGGGATAAAAATTTAACTTTTGTTCCGATCTACACAGTATGAACTTATGGTATCGTGAAGTCTTGCAGTTGTATGCTTGGGTTGGGATTTAATTTTATTTACTATAGGATCGATGTGTTAGTAATTCGGAATCCTGATAACACCTTGAGCCATACTGTGTATAGAAAAAAAGACCCATACAGATAGATATTTAGACGGTGATTCTCACCACCACCCTTCACAGTTAGCTACCGTGGGTAAATCTTTGTTTTAGAGAGCACGAACAAAAGTTAAATTTTTATCTATGGTAACCGCTGTTAACTATGACATTTGGTCGTTGAACATCTCAGTCCCCCCCCCCCCGTGACCATGGGTGCTGTAAAGCGCTCGAAACGTCGGGTATTTATAGTTAAATATACGCAATAAAATCCGAAAAAACTAGTATTATTTCAATTGAATTTGCCAAGTTCGTAGTTTTTTTTTCATAGAAGGAGGGTGACAAAAGAACACACGGTTCACCTGATGATATATGGATACTGTTGGCCCATAGCTCTATAGACCTGAACCTGTTCTGCCTGTACCTGTTCAGCCCGTCAATATACTTACTAGATTTTTATATTGTACTAGCTTTCACCTCATGCCGCGGTTTCGCCCAGATTAAACGAAATTTTCCCACGGTACCAACCCGATTCTTATTTATTTACTGGGAACCTACCTAATTCTTATTTACATAATCTATTTATTCGTTTTATACCAAAAAATAAATAAAAAGCAACAAGTAAATACTGAATCCTATACTTATCCAGCATTATACTTGTTATAATATAATAGGGTAAATGTCAAACCCTTACTCTATAATCTCTCAGACTGCGTCCTAGGCTCTAGCCTAATTAGCCTGTGGCTGAATCAAAAAAAAAAATAAATCGAATAAAGAAGAACTAAATAACCTAGGTATCTATAAACAAGAGCACGCTTACGATACGAACGCGGTGACGTTGCCTCTATAGTGTTTACCCTGCATGTACCACAAGTCGACCATGGACTCGACCCGCAGACCGGGCGCCTCGCCTACCACTGACGCTACGTTCTGGCCCACTGTGGTTGAATCTGTAAGTTCATAATATTTATAATATTATGACATATAAGTATTAGCTTGCCGAGCAGACGTTCTTCTGCCCTTTTCGACGATCCTATGTCATGTCCTATTAAAAATCCTGAAAATTCGTGCAAAAAAAATATTATGGGTAACTCATGAGCAAAAAAACTATCCTATCTCTCAAGTTGGACCAAATTGCACACGGGTGCAAATTTGATTAAAATCGGTTAAGTAGTTTAGGAGTCCATCGCGGACAAACAACGTGACACGTAATTTATATTAAGATGTAAAGTAATTAACGCACACCCCCAGACACCCCAATAGTAGTATGTTATAATCATAATACATACACTGAATTTTTAGTTGAACATTTTATGCACTGAATATTTATCAAATTAGTTATATTAATTTCGGAAGAATGTTGTGGTCACAGTACAAATCCACGAACGCAAACACTTTTTTTATTAGTGCTTGAAATAAAGTTCTTTTTTCTTTATTTTTATTGAATGACAGAATTAGTAGATAATAATACAAATAGACTCTTAAAAGTCTTATTGCCTTAAGTTAAGGCCCACTTCAGTTTGTTTTGACTGTACAGATTTAGTGTGACTGTAATTTACGTAGTTTTAATTATTTTTGGGATAAAGAATTACCTATATTAAAAATGATAGGAATGGATTCAGTAAACGATTCTGAACAAACTACTTTCTCAAAGTGCGTTAATTATGTTACGTGTTGTATATTAAGATTATATTTTTATTCTAACAACTTGTTAATTGACTAGGAACAGACAAATTTACTTATTACTACTCTCTATTAAATTAGATATATACTAATTATTCACTATGGTTTCAAAAAAAATACTTAAAAAAGTTTTAAATTATTTTTAATAGAAATTTAACAATTTCGGTTTATTAACTATTATAGGTATCATTTCTGTAGACGTAATAATTAATTAAGATATCTATTGCAACCTATAAAATTCCTCAGCGGAACATAGGTCTCTCCTATATATTGCTTCATAGGGGGGGCGGGGTTTTCCATAACTTCCACGCGTGACAAGCAGGTTGGGTTTGAGTTGTTATCAGTAAGATGCTGTTGCCCATCTCCTGATGTGTTTTCCTCTGTCGTCTTTTATTTATACTTATATATTTTTATATGGATTAGTAGATATTCTTACACTGCCACTACATACGGTAATTTATAACTATACAGCATTCCAAGCAGACGTTGTTCTACCCTATTCGACGACCCTGTCATATCCTATTAAAAATACTTAAATTCGCAAAAAAAAATTGGGTGTCACTCATGGGCAAAAAGAAACTATCAATATATAATATATATAATATATCCTATCACTCAAGTTGGACCAAACTGCACACGGTGTGCAAATTTGATTAAAATCGGAGCGGATAAACAACGTGACACGTAATTTATATATAAAGAATTAATAAATAATTTATTTAAAAATATCGATACTGACTTGCTTGTCATGGGATTTATCTGAGGTTTAGGACACTAAATCACCAAAGCGAAATTATACCTGCTCTATAGGTAAAAATTCGACAGCGTTTAACCAACCCTCGAACTGGTAGCCTTATGCTTTTTTGAAGTCGGTTAAAGCCGAAGTATACAAAAAGTCTACCATATCTTATAGATCATTAGGCTGTTTTGTACTTAGCCTTAGTCAATTCTTACGATACCTAATAAAAGTGACGACGCAATGCTCACATTAGGGACGAGTTGAAGCAATGGCGTAAAAGTGCTTTGTAAAGGACAATATTTTGAATAAAAGTATTTTGACTTTAACTTGCCAGTTGTAGCGGAATGTTTTCTAAAATACTTACATGAAAGTATTTTACGTGGGTTCTATCTTGTTCTCTGGAGTGACAATGCAGTGCACGCAGGGTTATTTTGCAATATCCGGCCAAATTTTACACATGGTGGAGCCATGATACAGTTATATTAGTAGTATAGTGTAGCACGAATGGGTCTGCTCGACCGGTGAAGGACCACGCTCTCACAGAATACCACTTATTGCTGATATGTTTCCTATGGTGAGTGTAGAAAACCGGATACCCTTTTTGCTGCAAACGAGGCATTCCATCTTAGTCCTCACGGGTGACAATGCATCTGCATTTTGAGTCGTAATCTAGGATAGATGTAGATGTCTATGGGCCACAGCAACCACTTACCATCAGGTGGACTGCGTGCTCGTTTGTCACCCTATCCCATAAAAGAATTGCCGAGTAAGTTCAGAATAATTAATATAGGCAAATGGTGAAGAAAAATTAACTTCAAAAAAATCTCAAACATTTTGTTGGCCTTTTTATCTTTTAAATTCAAAATGCGTGATAATACATTATTTTAACTGATTTTACGAATGTGTTTATTACGAATGCCTGCGCAGCGCAATTTGGCTGCTCTTTGAAAAATAATTTTGTATATGCAGTTATTTTTAATTTTAACAGGAAGATTCTCGTGCCAATCTCCTGTTTCAGTATCCTTCTATCATCTCTTATGATATCCGAGGGATGATAGTGGCTAATGGATTCACTTACGCTACAAATACATGGCGACGGGCTCTTGTTGCTTCTATTTTTTTTATTCTACAATTATTTAAGGGACATTTAATGCTAGCGTATGTAAGTCCCATCATACACTAACATAAATCATTTAATCAAATAATATTAATTATTATACCCATGGATTCAAACAAACTTTCGCATCGTCTCCATTTGGTTAGGGATAAAATATTATGAAATGTACCTACACCTACGTCAGTTCTGTTCAAATTCAAGACACATAATAAATTACTTCTAAGAGACTCAAATCGAACACATTCCATCTATAAATGGTGTTGGTCTTCTGTAGCCCACAGTCTTCACAATTGGGTGAAGTTGTTTTTCTCATCAAGAAGGCAAATTTCTTTACATGGAATGTCTCCAGATCTGAGTCTATAAGCAGTAACAACTAATATCCTACTTAAGCTAGTATTACGAAGAGGGCACATGAAGAGGCTGATACAGTATGGCTTTGTACCATATTCCTTTTTCTAGTGACCGTTTGTTAAACTATTCCTTCCACATTTCATAACATATAATTAACACATAATCCAAAATAATATTAGTTTCTTTTCCATTCTTAACCGCATATTTCGCTAACATGTCAGCTTGTTTCGTTGTTCAGCGATGGAACCCATTGCAATCACAGCTGAACGCCTTTTGAATTTGAAGTTATTTCATCTATCTTGGATATAATGTCATAAGCTATCGATATATCTCTATAACTTACGGCGCATCGAGCTATATGTTGCAACGAACTCTAGCTGACTGTACATATAACGACATTTTTATATTGGCTATTGATAACATATGTCAAAGCTTCCGAGATTGCAACAATGATTTCAAAAAAGAAGGATGGGCCCATCTAAATATTTTACTCATAACTTTTTCATACAAGAAAAAGTAGCGCATCTGTCATAATACAAACGTCATATCAAAACACGAAGTAACCAGGGTTGGATTTCGTGGTATAATTATCCTAACCATTATTTCATAGTTTGTAGTATATAGTATCGTAATAATACTAAGTTAATAATTTTACGTAAAGGTCGACTTGTATTATTATTGGGTCCTTTTACATTTTAATATTAACCCTACGATATCGAGAATTTCTGTATTGTACATGAGTACCGCGTTTTTTTTTAATAAAATTAGAATTAGCTCCCTTTCTGGTCAATCGATGCTCGATCGATGCATTTATAGTTGCATCCTTGATACAACTATGAGGGGCTACCACGATAAAAACCTATGCTCCAGAAGCAATCGGTTTGAAAACAGGATTTCAAAATATTTTATGAATCAGATTTTCAGATTCAATTAAGCAGATACCATTTCGTTTGTACTCTTTTCGTTTTACCCTCATTGAATATAAAATATATTAGGTACAAATATTCAAAATTTAGCTTATACTAAGTTCTTTAGACAAAAATTAAACAGAAATAAAAATAAAACCGCCAAAAAACGAAATGTATAAATAAGTATAAACTAGACGCGTGACGCCGAAATCTCGGCACATGGGAAAAATAACATGAAACGTCAAACGTGCTATATTTTTTTGAAAATAGTATTATTTTATTTTCCATGCACAATATTTTTGAGGCTCTGAATCCAACCCTGGCCTAATCTTGGTAATGTAAATGAACTAACTGTAAAATAAAACTTTAAAAATGCGTTTATATAATAATTTTATTGTAACACAATTAATATACGGTTATTTACCGATGATACCATATCCAATATTTTTTTAAATCTTTGTATCGTTATTTTTGCATTCTTTTTAAAACGCAACTAGACATATTTATGACAGGAAAAACTGTCCTGCGCGCGCACCACTATCGACCGATTCGCGTTGGCCCTAAACTGTAATTTTAGGGCCAGCGCACTGGTCCGTTTTAGTTGTTCGGTCTGCCCGGTCTTTACGCTAGTAATATATAAGTCAATGGATTGTAATAAGTTTCAAAGTCATAGTAGAAGTATGAGTATTTATTTCAAAACAAAGACTTTGTTTTGAACAATTTGATTTTGTATAATATCTACATTAGGCACATAAAATACAGACCACGTCCTTCTACACTCTTCGACCCATCCGTAAATGTAAAACTCCAGCCATTAAATTTGTTTATTGCTTCTTAATTCGTTTAACGATAATATGAGGTCTATGCCCAACAGTGGAATGGTCATTAGGCTTTTACTTAATTGTGTAACATAAAAACACTAACATAAATCCCGACACAGGTCCTTTTCCTCTGGAAAGTATGGTGGAGAACACTGATTGGCAAACATTTGTGCTTCACGCGCCAGCTCTTCAACCCAGCGCTAGTAACATTACATTAAAAAAACTTAACTTTATTAACATCGTATCAAAATTGCAAATCAGTATTTTCGAATGGATTGCCAGGGTCTCTTCTGTTCGTCATCAGGGTGGACCGCGAAAAGGTCAAATACACCTTTCGTTGTATTCCCATTCGGGAAAAAGGTGATATGCTAGAGGACGACTAATTTCACTGATTACGTTGTTGAGTTTCGGCGCCAAAAAGCAGTGTTTAACACTGCTTTGTTTTAGTTTGAAAGGTATAGAAAGTAAGTAAAATTAAAAAATTGTAAGGCATTTTATCTTTGTTTTAGGAGGTAACAATGCACTTCCTTGTTATAAACAAACTGAAAATGGACCAACCAAGGGCTGCGGTAACCATTTACGATCGGGTGAATTATAAATTCGTTTGTCACTTCAACCACTAATGAAAATATTTTTTTTTTTACTTTTACTCATAGGGCTAGGCACCGGCCAGACGTCGGACTAACAGCGATTTATTCGCTGCAAATCGCCCGAATCACAGGCTGAACCTCAGGAACGCACTCGCACACCGTTGTGGCCACGTTGCCAAGCCCTCTTTAAACGTTCATCTCAAACCGGAATTTTCCCAGGGGCCATCCATGTAAGTTCCTTTTCTTCCACCGCGGGTGACCAAGCCAAGACTACTAAGTTATATATATATATATATATATATATATATATATATATATATATATATATATATATATATACCCATAAAAAATTAGCACACTTGCCAGGGAATGACAAAAAAAAAAAAAAAAAAAAAGTTATTCTGCCCTTTTCGACGACCCTTTGTCATGTCCTATTAAAAAACCTTTCGCGAAAAAAAATTATGGGTCACTCATGGGCAAAATAACTATCCTATTTCCCAAGTTGGACCAAATTGCACACGGTGATTAAAATCGGTTAAGTAGTTTAGAAGTCCATCGCGGACAAACAACGTGACACGTAATTTATATATATTAGAAGATTTATATATTTTATACGTGGTAGAGCCATGTTGAAGTTATATTATTTACTTTACAATATAGTTTAGCACGAATGGGTCGGCTCGACCGGGGAAGGATCACGCTCTCACAGAATACCAGCTTAAAACAGCAGCTTATTGCTGCTGTGTTTTGTATGGTGAGTGTAGAGAACCGGAGCCCCTTTTTAATGGAAACGAGGCATTCCGTCTTAGTCCACACGGGTGACAACGCATCTGCATTTTGATTCGTAATCGAGGATAGACGTAGATGTTTATGTGCCACAGTAACCACTTACCATCAGGTGGACTGTGTGCTCGTTTGTCTACCTATCCTATAAAAAAACATAAGATAGTAACACTATAGTAGAGAATGTTAAGCGGAGCGTATGGCGTAGTGATGCATCCGGCATAGTTGCAATACAAGAAGTTTGCGTTCACTGTCCCCTTATACCGTATACAAAACATACCAACGTAAGCATATCCCCTGCAGTAGGAAGGTTGCCCAGCAACCCCAAAGCCGCGTCATTCCGACGACGGTTTAGCCGCGTCATTATACTCCTTTTCTCGTCTTTCGTTAAACTTGCTGGCATGAAACCGGTGCAAAACGGCCCGGGACCATCCTAGAAAATTACCAGGCATGAGAAATCACTTCAAAATACTTATCCGATTTCTACAATACCAAACGAGGAGTTGAGACTAGAGTAATGATAAACAATATCATTGTCACCTAGTGTCAAAAGTAGAAACGTTCTTTTTCTGCCTTGGAGCTGGCCGAATTCTGCCGCCAATAAGCAGCACCCGCTACTAGAATCTGTATAATAACATTTTATGAAGCATTCCGGCTTAGTCTTGTTGAATGGTAACTTTATGCCAACTAGCTGCGTTGGACTTAGTGGCTAGGCGTGCTAAGAGTATTATTGAAGACCTAGAACACAGGCGGAAAGTAGTCCGCCTCACAGTATTTTATAAAACGCATTCCGGAGAGTGTGGTGCAGGTATTATGCGTGGTAGAGCCACATTGCAGCTGAATTATGGTTGTAGTACGAATGGCTTTGACCGGGGAAGGACCACGCTCTCATAAAATACCAGCGTAAAATAGAAGCTTATTGCTGTTATGTTCCGTATGGTGAGTATAGAGAATCGAACATCCCTTTTTAATGGAAACGAGGCATTCCATCTTAGTTCTCAGGGGTGGCAACGCATCTGCATTTTTATTCTTGATCGAGGGTATAGATACAGCATCCACTTACCATCAGTTGGACTGTGTCCACTTTTGTCACCCCTATTCATTAAAAAATATTGCATACTTTAATTCCTCCCTCCCTTTTCCATCATCGAATAACCGAGCGGTCGGCGGGACCTGACCCCTTTGTTATTGATATTCCACGCATTCAAACCAAACGGTTTGCTAAAGTATAATGCATAAGTATAGCAAAGGTGTGGAATAATTTGTCGGTGTCTGTCTTTCCGTCTGATTATAATATGGGTTGTCTTCAAGTCAAGAGTGGATAGGCGTTTGATACGCTCACACAATGCACTTTACAATCTAGGGCTTGATCACTACTTACCACCAGGTGGGATTGTAGTCAATGCTTATAATAAGATTTTAGTCCTTTGATCCCCATAAAAATCCCATACAGTCGCGTGGGTCCATCAAATTCTGAGCGGTCACAATCGAACGCATCCACCAACAGTATTTTAAACCATTAAAACTTATATTTATAGACTACTTTTCTATGAAGAAGTTTGGCATTATAAAATCTATACAAAATTCTCTATATAATCAAAAGTCAGGTTTTACTTCATTGCAAAAATATTTTATTGTATTTTTATAACATAAAAAAAATATACCAAGCGAATGACGGCAGCGTGAAAATTACAATTATTTCTATATATATTACTCGAAATTATTATATATAAAAATACATAAATTATATACACATAAAACTTTCATTACAATTTTATAATAAAACACTAGAAAAATTCAAAAATCAACACAGTAACATTCACACGAAATGGCGTACGAAATGAACGTAGATTATAAATAACTGACTTAGTCTTAGACTAAATGACTAGACTCTAGACTCAGACTGACTTCTTATTCCATTAGAGGATAAAAAATTTCATATTCATTCTATAATACAAAACTTCCTCATAGAAAAGTAGTCCCTAAAGATAAGTATTTATGGGTTAAAGTGCTGTGGATGGGTGCGGTCACATTTGACCTCTTGAATTTTGACGGAATATCGCCGCGGTCAAATTTATTGGACGCTTGGTAGTTAAGAAGTTAAAAAACCGCCTCTTATCTTCTCTCTCGTTTCCTCAACTATCAAGCAGTACCTTGAATACTGTACCATACTCATTTATCCAAGAGTAGTAAAGTCATTAGTGTGACAGTTATGTCAAATAAGTATTGGATTTGACATGACTAAAGGCATTTAGTATACGGCAACTAACTTGGCAAGGTTTTGGCGTAGTGGGGAAAAGTTTGCGCATGTACGCTTCATGCACGGATGGACGTGGACATGTTGCGGAAGGCAAGGATTGACTGGCCAACCAATCGCGCGATCGAAACCATAAAATAATATAATACATAATAGAATGGCTGTCAACCTTATTTTGTACGAGATTTGCCGTCGGGGGGAGCACACATACAAGCAATAACGTACTATTATCACTACTACAAACCCGGTTCGCTGTGTTGACAGACTGATTTTAATACATATTTATTTGTAAATAGCATGCAATTTGGCATTTTCTAAATAAATTTCATGGGAAATTTGGAAACGATTGTAACGTCAAAACACATCTCGTGTTGACATTTATGCGTGTGAATTGACCTGTTAGTAACATTTTAATGTCTACACGGACTCCGCCCACTCCCCCGTTCTATTATGTATGTATTATAATATTCTATGGTGGCATGTTTTCGAAATAATTTAATTCCTTAGGTTTCTTCGCAATTATTTCCTTCACTGTTGAGCACGTGATATATCATAACTTAAAATTGCAAACATTTTATTTTTAGGATTTTCTCCTGTACCAGTGACAGTTTAAATACCACGAGGACAAACATCCAAACCCGGAACAATTATTTATAGGCCGTATACAACTCCAAATAATAAAAAACTGCGGTTGCCAACTCACTTACTAAGCGGTACGCTACTATCGCTACTATCGGCTCAGCAGTGGTATTCTATACAGGGTTATTTTTCAAAGAGTAGCCAAATTTATACTATAATGTATTCTATGCTCTAAACGATGCTACCTCGTTCCCCGCGCTCCGCTTGATAACCAAAGAGATAAAAAATAAAAATATAAATTTCTTCGCCCCATAAATATTTATCGGAAGGTTGCGAAGAAATTTATATTTTTATTTTTTATTATAATGGATTTCCGCAAAGTAACGCCTGATTTTATCAATTATCCAAAGATCTAAAAAAAACGACTTCTGCGCATCTAACGAACTTGACAAGTTAGACGCCGTTATCTAATATTGATTTGATATAACCATTATGATCATTGACTCTTCGACAATTGGAAAACAATGAAACGCGCTGGACCATATTCAATACTGACAAATGATAATCATGATCGTAATTACCGTCATTACGATCATATGTTTCTTCATCGTTCACATTTCTTTCTTTCCTCCCAGATTATCACATAAATCATATATTTTAGACTTCTCGTGTTAGATACAGATCGTATATCTATTATTGAATATGGGAAACGAAGTGATATAAAGTTAGATTTCAGAAACCGCTTTAGGATCCTGGACTTAGGTTACAGCAGTGCAATTCACTATGGTGGTTGTTGATGTCGTGGTTGGGTTTCTTTTGACGTGTGACGCTTGGTTTCGGGAATTTTGGTAAATATATCAGTATCGATTATAAGCCGATGCCTACTTTATATCAATAAGTACCTTATTAATTTTAGTTTATTAAATATGAATAAAAAAATATTAACTTGCGAATTGATTCCCACCAGCAAACGAAAACCAGGCCTACGCAATCGTACCACATGTATAATATCTATCTATCATCATCATAACAGCCCATCATAAGTCCATTGAACATGGGTCTATCCCAAGAAATGCCATAAAGTACGCTCCAAACCACCTGCATCGCATACCTAATCATCACTCCATTTAGTGGGGGCCTCCTATAATGTACCGGTATGAAGCTGCCACCTCTCTACCACATCGGATGATGGTTCTTCGAGCTATATAGCTCACTCATTGTCACTTCATTTACTTCATCACTTCATCGTCTGTTACTCTTTTTCCACAGCGGATATCCTCATTACTAAGTCTATCACTCAGAGAAATTCCGAGGATAACCTTCTGTATAGTTTGCAGAGCGGAACTTGAGCTTCCTCATACCGACCCCAGTGAAGGACCATGTGTCAGGATCTGATTATAGGTACACGCTTGTTTTCAACTTTTGAGGTATAAGTGACGAGAAGATGTATCGCAATCTCCCGAACGCTACCCAGCCGAATTAAATCCTTCGATCGTGTTCTCGGTCAAGTAAGACTTAGCTAATTCGGTGCCTAGTCGAACAATTTGTCTTCAGTTACCTAAAGACAAATTGTTCATGCTCGTCGGATTAATAATCTGTTTTCTGTTTCGGATTAGTAATCGGAGCGGCCATATAGCTCGAAGAATCGACAACGCTGAAACTGTAGACATCCGCTACTTGCGTACAAGGTTGGGAGGTGGTATCGGAGGGGGTGGATTCAGGGGAAGCCCTACCCTACACTCCCCTCTTACGGAAAAAAATAGTTTATAAGTAATAATTTTTTTGTAACATCGTAATCTCACTTTTTACTCAGGAATATTGACCCAAAGTTACTTCTGCAACAGCTTCGGCGCTGTAGGAAGAGCATTCCCTTTGCCCTTGCATAGCAAATCGCAGGCACACCCAGAACTAGGGCGGGCAGAGGCTGCTCTCTTTCTGCGGCTGCGACTTTACAGACTTTAATATGTGTAGTCGGGGCGTACTGATTCGGCTTTCGTACATATTCGACCTATTAAGTCCTTCCCGTCGTCCCTTATCTATAAAGTCAGGTTGCCCCAAACTCTGCTATGATAGTGGTAAATGAAGCAATGTAATGTGAATTGTTAAATTTTGTGTAATTGTGTCGAAATCCAAAAACGATGCAAAAAAGGGTTCAACCTTAACCCTGACAAGTAACGGACATCTATAGCCAAAACTCGATAATCGGTAAGCGAACTGCAGGGCGGCCCTCCACTAGATGGAGTCACGTACTGGTAAGACATGCAGGAAGTCGATGCAGGTGGCTCAGGATCCTGATTTTTGGCATTCTTTGGGGGAGGCCTATGTTCAGCAGTGGACTTGTGAAGAGCTGTAACGATGATGATGAAACATGCTCGTCAACAACTTCGAGTGTAGTACTACGAGTAACACTAACCAGTAAACTCCGATCATAACGGATAGAAAAATAATTGAAAAAATTTTAAACTCACAGGATATTTACAAAAAGTATGTGCGTCAGTATAAGCGCACATTTTTGCACCGCAGTAATT